TTAATTTTGAGGGCTCTCATCGCTCCGTTTCTAGAATTTTGTGAGGGAGGTAAATCGAGAGATGTGCCCAACAGGTTAGGGAACAAGATCTGTCTATACACTGCGCCGACAAGCAATCTAATTCCATGTTTTAAGAATCGAACCCTTACACTACGGCTGCCAACAAGGTGTGAGATAACCTCACTCCTATCCTTTACACCACTAGATTATGCCCCAGGGGGCAATAATTGAGGTTTATCTAATTTGTGTGAAGGTTAAACGTAATACGACATAATAACTCAATAGAAAAATAAAAGTAATGTCAATCATTTCAATTTTGGATAGGCTAATCTATAGTGTCAATCGCCTACTTTTGGCCATCAAGTTTTTTTTTTCTTTTTTTTTTGTCATGGACGGGTGTGTAATGGAATTGATGCGAGACGAGGAAATTCGATCTGTGAAAACTAAAAGGATGTACTCTTTATCGGGTTCTGAACCCTCGAGTGAAAAAGAAATTGGAGGAGAAGAGAGATCTTGGTGAGCTCTCTTAACTAGTGATCAAGTGTAAGTTTCGATTCGCGACTACTCGCAATTCCAACTTCATGGTACAGAGTACATATAAAAACTCTTGAAATCTCACTGGATTCAATATCATACCTTTTGAACATGGATATTGTTCGTGGTAAGCATCGACAAATTGATGTATATTTGGCCTTAATTAAAGTTGCTATTCTTAAAAGTAAGATATGATTTCTTAAAAAAAAATTAAAAAAAAAGTGAGAGAAGAAAAAAGTAAACACAAGGAATAACTTAACTTTTTTCCAGTTTGGAAAGTGCTAAGGAGAATCGGTTGAGCTAACGTAAGTGCTACATCAATGTAAAGAAAGTTTCTGGGGATCAGAGCTGATGAACCAAACAATTTACAGAAGTTAAGGATTTTACTTTTTACTTCGTCAGAATATCTTCAATTTGAATTAAACAAGCAAAAATTCCAAAATTAAGGTGTATTTTGATAGATACATGAATATAAAAAAATCATATAAATTTTTTCATAGGATTCCCCGAATGGATTTTAAGGATAAGCATGAAATGTCAACATTGTTTCCTTATGGGAAGCAGCATCTACTGGCAAAAAGGACTCCTAGATTGGCCCAATAATGTATCATTTTGCTAAAGTGATAATTTCAGCAACGGCCATTCGAGTTCGTAATAAATTTAGAAATGGTCACTTTTTATTATAGTGATCACTCAAGTTTATTATAGTTACCATAACGATCACTCGGCTAGAAATATCAACTTAAAATCATACATTTCACTGTAAATGTCAACTCTTGACACAAGTGACGTTATTTAATATGCAGGGGATAATAAGATCGCGTTCCAATAATTAAAGTTGTATTGTGCCAAACACGTTTTCATCTATCGCATGACTTTGATCCCCGATTCCTCCTCTTCAAACAATATTTTCCCCATTTCTTTCTTATAACCTAAGGTTTTCGGTTAGGAATTGAGAATTAAAATTAGTTGATTGGGATATTTAACAAAATAGGTATTTAATTAATGGAACACGATGTTGTCACATGTGGCATACAAAAATGCGTAATGTGTCGAGGGTGAATTTTTTATGTAAGATTTTAGGTTGAAATTTGCAATCGAGTGATTTGCGTGGAACATGGAATTTACATGGAAAAAAAAATAAATTCTAGACAATTGAATTGCCAAAAAATTATTTGCATGAAAATTGTTAATTAAATGTATTCGACTGATTTTATTTTCAACATAGAAAATGTTATACTTGTCCATTTTTTATTGGTAGATAGATTAAAAAGAGGGGTGGTAGAAGAGAGAGAAAGAAAAAGTGAATTACCTGGAAAAATAAAAGCATACTCTCTCTAAAGAAAATATTTTCCTTGTTGTGAAGGAAAATATGGTCAGGTAATCAAAAGTAGAAAAATGTTTTCAATGAAAAAATATATCAATCAAATAGTATAAAAGTAAGAAATTGGATGAAAATTGATATTTTTCATGAATAATATTTGCAATCAAACGCATTTTTAATATACTCATTAAAAACTTAAGTCACTATTGGTCTAAGAAAAATTATTTTTCTAGCATTTAAAATTTATTCCGATTCCAAAATTCAGCTATCCTTGCTGAAATTAACTCTTTTGTTAAACAGTAAATTGATTGGAATAAACAGTACCATTAAGTATATTATGTTTCCATCTAATCCCAATATTAGTAGGTCCATTAAGAAAGAACCATTTACAAATTTTACCAAGTAAAATCAAGAAGGAACATTTTTCACCGAAATTTTTTTTCACATAAGAAATTCAGAAAACTCACGTGGGGTGGGTCCCATGTGAATTTTATATTGAAAAAATATAAACACTCACCCCATACCCCATGTGAGTTTTATGTTGAAAAAATATAAACACTCACCCCATAGACTGTGTGCGGTTTGTAGACTGTAAGTTCTCTGGTAAACTGTTTTCTATACTTGTAATGCAGTTGTTTTTTATTTCTCTCATGAAGGGAGAAATTATTGTTGCGTTAGGAATTTCTCGAAAATAGTGAGATCGTGTTTTCTTTGAGATATGACGAAATTCTAGCTACTTGATTGATAAATTAGAAAGGAATTTGGAATTTCAGTACTATATATTAAGCCCCTATTTGGGCTCCATTATTCCACATTTTAATGAGGAAAATAGTAATTTTTTGAAGAATATGTGGTAAAAAAAGAAAGAAAAGTTTTTAGGTTTATGTGTGACAGTATTTTATTGAAAATGTATAGTTGATAAGAAGAGAGAAAAAAATAAATTTTAATTTAATGGGAGCCAAACAAGAGCTAAGCTTGTCAACTCGCACTGATGATATACTTGATAGATTAGAATTAACTATAAAAGTCAAATTCTCGGACGCTATTGTTGAGTAATACTTATCAATCACTCACTGAGTTTACGTAAAAATTCATTAAGAAACGCTCGTTCTTTATCCGAACTTTAAGCCAAAAGGTCCTCAGAACTTGGGATTTCAACAATGAATTAATTGTGTTTTAGACTTTTAGTGTGTCAAAAGTCCTCAGAACTTGGGATTTTAACATCCTTTCCATATTTAGTTGCGAATATTGCGTTTTGATTGAATAAATCCACATCTTTTCAGGCTACATTATAAGTAAGATTTCAGAGAAAATAATTAGACTGAAAAGTTAATTGAACAACTTATAATTTGGTTGAGATTATTGCGTTTGATTGAAAAAAGCTAGTCAAGGTGGAAGAATTGAAGCAGACATCTCTATCTTCTATAAACAACTTAATTAAGCCCACTTTCCACTATCATTAATGATGATGAAGATTTGTCACACACTTATTTTAGACCTAAAAATATGCAATTTGATTGACTTTCTTGAACTTTAAATATATTTTATTTCATAATTATAGTCTCAACTTTTAATTTTTATTATTTCGTAACTTCCAAATTTATGTGAATTTTTTAAAATATTAAGCTACGTTGAACTTGATTTTCGACATCTCATTCACAATATATTAATTCTTCTATTTTTGCATTCTATGTTAAATAAACGTACAACATACGCTTTGACAATTTAACTTATTATGTTCTTAGTTTCTTATTCAAATTTGAAAGTTTATAACAATGACTAATTTACTATCTATAATGCTTACATGATTGGCTTTCTTGGGTTTTTTCTTCAGTAAAGTTTTTAAAAATCAATCGAATCTTCGATTAATATTTTCGATTTGAAACAAATGAATGAACAAAAATCCAACCTAATACGAATATGCTTCAACCTCTATATTCTCATATTTTCCCATGTTTTTCAACTGTCCAAGTTAATGTCAACTATGAAGGAAAGGGGTGATTACGATATTTTGATATGGGATTGATATCAGTATCTAAGTAGGTACGCCTTTCAAGGTAGTCAGATATTTTAAATAATTCATAAAATAAAACGAGTGAATTGTGTAAATAAATAGAAGCATAATTGGGATGGAGATGAATGGGAATCCAATGCAACGGAAAAGGAACAAATGAGAGTGATAATAAACATGCCCACATGGGCCTTTGTAGGAATCCCAAGAATAACATTTGAGCGTGTTTGGAAGAAATTTTTTCAAGTGAAAAAGGATTTCGTTTAAAAAAATATATGATTAAAAAATAGAAAAATTAATTTGTTATAAAAACATAGAAAAGAAAAGAAAATAGAGAAGTCGGATAAATTTATGTTTATTTTATTGAGAATCAAAGATT